TATATATATATATATATATATACACATGTATATACACATACACATACATATATTTTTGTCTACATGTTGCTCGCTACAACAAAAGAGGAGAAAAGAAGCTATCTTTAATTCCGATCGTTTTTACCGGTCTCTCGAAATTTTAATCGAGAACTTTGTATTTATTAGATATATACTATATATACATTATTATTGTAATATTATTGCGAGGAAACAAAACGCACCGTTAATGCTTTTAGGAGGATATTTTTCATATACGGATAACGTGTATCGATGCCAATTGCTGATCGTGATAATCATTGATAGAAGTCACTATATTACGAAAAAAAGAAAAAAAAAAATAATAATCACGGTGTAATCAAGGCTCTGAGATTTTCCTTCTAATTTTTATTATTTTATTATTTATAAACGAACCGAAAAATTAAGCGTATTCTTGAGAAAATTTTTTTTGTATTAGAAAAAACTATTCATTACCTTGATTCGTAAATGAAATTCCATTTTGTTTTCGATTTTTTATAGATGAAGTAAAAACTTGAGAATATATCTTCGGTTATATTTGTTTATCATATCTTATACATGTATTTTGCGCAGTCTAATAGGAAATATTGCTCAATATTTATTTAACGTTTATGAGGCTAGCCTTAATTATACCGTGATTGTTCTAATTTATAGTAAGTTAAACAAGAGTTCAGAACTCTGAAATATGTGTGTTTGTAATACGTGTAAATTTACGCGATTATTCGCCTTTAACGAAAAGCAAGATGAACTAAGTGCTACTTATCAACTCATTCGATTCCGTTCCATCTCTTGATTCGCAATCGGAATTGAAATCCTCTCGAAGATGACGAAAGAATGGGTTAAAAAAGTTACATGCTCAAAAAGAAAATCTATATTCGAATGAATTTCGAATGGGTTGAGATTGGTTACATGCATCGTAGATTTGAAAATTCCGTAATGGTTAGCTGTTGCGTCTGTACTTACCGGTTGCCAACGACGAGAGAATCGGCGAAATTCGGTCCACAGCCACTAAATTTTCGTCCAGACAACAGGACCTTCCACAAAACTATCAAAATTATAAAAAAAAAAAAAAAAAAAATCCCGATGTTCGTACAATTTTCAACACGACGCACGCACACTTGCATTTCAAACTAACGAATCACCGAGGAACGCAATCACACTTCGAGAATCGCAAGTGACTCGCCCGTCACTCTAGCGCGAAATTCAAACGAACGAAAGCGTAGCTGAACCGCCGCATAGACGTAGGCTTAGCGCAACTTGTTGAATAACTATCGACGAAGCATGTGATAACAGAACTCGATATATGTATAAATGTTAAGGCATCTCAGGATAACGCGTAATTACTTTTTAAGTTTAATACGAGCAACGTATGACAAATTTTTTGCTCTGCGTACAATGCGTACGTTCGACAAGCGCGTCTGACAGAAACGAACTGCAAAAGAGACACTTTCCGTAGTAATGGACGTCACGACTCGAGTAATGCAGCAACTGAATGCAAAATATTTAAAGATATAGTCACATCGTGCTAGAATTTGATATGACGAAACTAAAATACAAATAGAGTTATTAATTAACGAGAAAATTATAATTGCGTTGTAATAACTGTAATGAAAGGTAACCTTGTTAAATAGGATGCACATTGACCAGCATCAGAGTTAAATGTTAAAAAATTTGAAAGTGTCTCTTCCAACGAAATATTCGAGCCTTCAACGTTTGAAAATTCAACGTTCATCGATCTATAGGTTTACAGCGGCAGATCTAGGCTTTAAGAAATAATCGCCGATTTCGATAAATTCGATTACCCAGATAAGTTCGAATAAATTGAATGGTGTTTATATGATACTTCAACGCGATTCGGATTTTACGAATCAACGATCAAACGAAGAATTTCGATTATAAAAATTTGGCTATCACAGAAAAAAAAAAAAAAAAAAAGGAAATTGCACGCCAGGAGGATTTTGCTTCACGCTCATGCGATTAGAAATCGTGGTATCGGAATCCTCCATTGTTGTGCAATGTTCAAGGACAGAAACTTATCCATGCCGTCTTAAAAAAGTGCTCTTCTAAATAAAAAATTGTTAACACGGCGAATTGTGTCCATTATTTACGCGATAATTGGGTAATGCGTCTGTATGCGTTACGTATTCATTTGCGTAAAAAGCCTGTAATCATATACTGCTACGTATGTAACTATTATGATTATGATTAATGACGATATGCAAATCAGTCTTGTAAAAACTAAAAAAAAAAAAAAAAAAAAAAAAAGTAAAAGATATGGTATGGTATAGTACAATAAACGTTGACACGAAAAGGAAACTTGTTTCCTCGAAGTACTTGCTACTTTTAATTAATCTTTTTACACAAAAGCTACGACGAGGAAAAAATAAAATACCAAGATATTTTAATTTTAATGTATTTTTCTAAAACGTGGGATAATATTAATAAAAGTATAAGATACAGACACGAGTGAGATAATAACAAAGACTAAAATCTTTACCATAAAAGAAAACAATTATTATGCATAATCCGACCGATACATTACTGACATAATATACAATCGAGTACGACACTAATATATCGGATTATTAAAGTAATTATTTACGATACACGATTTACTGTTGTTACCAACGTTCATACAACACTTCATTTCTTGCGTTTTTTTTTGTTTTTTTTGTTTTTTTTTTTTTTTATAAACATCAATGGGAAAGGGAACGATAGGAACCTTTCATTTTTACTTGTGCCCACTTTGCTTGCCACATTAAACAATAAAGTGTCTTTACATAATTATAATAGCTATATTTGTTTTTTCTTGCAAACACTTGCCGTTTTTTTAAGTAAACAGAAATAACATATAGGACTTTTCATTTAGTCGGACTAGCAATATCGGCAAATTATCGCATCAGGCTAGTTCTCAACGATTGTACGATCAGTGAATCCTTAATAAAGCTAATTTTTCACGTAGCCATTTTGTGTGTAATAGACCCGGTAATAAAGCGTTTTACTTCGCCAAAGTGAATATGAATTATCGAATTTAAGAAGATACACACCCTGTAATAAATAAAAACACACAAGCGGCATAATAGTTTGAATTTGCAAACATAAGATGCTTTCAAAGATATATTTTTATTTACCTGTCCTGGATATCTATGACTTCCTGCATAGATTTCTTCTTGTGAATCCCTCCTATAAATCTTTAAAAACAAGCAGCATAAAAATACTAATATCATGAAAATTGTTCTATTCCTATTTCTAAAGTTAAAAAGTAAATTGATATACTTACAGGTACTATAATACTTATAGGTGGTGGCAATGGTTTATAGTCAGACTGTATTGTACTATTTGTTATTCCACTTTCTAAATCATCTCTTGTTTCATAATCATCATCGTCTTCATCCTCATCTTCGGACTCGCTAATATGTACTGATACTTGATTCGTTTCTGGTTTTGACCATTCGAAATATACTCCAAAACCAATATCATAGCCATCTGTTGCAAATTCCCAAAACAAACAAGAACCATCCTCGTGTGTTGGCACTCTAACAGTTACTGTTTCTCCATGTCCAACTTTAATAACTGCATCACCATCCTCCCTTCTAATGGTTTCTTTGAATTCTTCCACACCTTTCCTAGTCCACATCTCTGCTGGAGTTATAGGTGGGCAATCATCCTGTAATTCATCCGAATCTTCCTCATTCAATGGAGCTGTCTCATTTGTTTCTTTGTGCTCCTCCTTTTGAGAATTTTCTATTGTGGCAGTGTTCATTTCTGGAATTTGATCTTCTATAACCAATTGATTTTGACGCAATTGTTGCATATACTGATGATAATGTTGTTCTTGCAACTGCCTTATTAATACACCTTGTTGTTCTGGATTCCCAGGATACTGTTGCTCCGCATACATTTTGAACTGATAATATGTTTGTTGATTTAAGGCATCTTGAATTTGTCTCCTCTGTATTTCCTCTTTTAATCTAGCTTCTTCTTCTTTCTTTTTTTGTTCATCTATTTCTTTTAGCCTCCTCTCTTCTTCTAATTTCCTTGCTTCCTCCTCTTTTTTCAACCGCAACTTCTCTTCAATATCTCTCCTCTGAGCTTCGACAACTGTTCTAAACAAGGGACATAGCTTGTCTAACAAAACTATAAATCCCTCCATCGCCTGTTCCTTTGATATATCTCCTAGATTTTGCCATGCTAAGCGTCTATCCCTTCCAATCACATCTAATACACCCAAAGATGGTGCATTTTCTGCTGTATATTTTCCATGTGTTACTTGTTGAGTAAAAGCTACCAGTTTCAATTTGTCTTCATAGGACAGATGAACAGCTTTACCTTCCTTTTCTGTAATAATCACAAAATTTACATAATCAATACTTTGATAGTAAAAGGGAATGATACTATGCCACAGATAAAAAAAAAACACAAGTACACAACAGTGAGTCACACAGTAATCACTCATGAAGTTCTGAAATTTGATACTTCAACCTTCAGACATGTTGGAAATACATAACATAACAATGCAACAACGCGTCTCCACGCTGACATACTATGTTTCTGACAGAAGTCAAAAACTCAGATTACGAAACTATTCTGATAAACTGTCAATACGATTGACTCACCTTTGTAGAAATTGACGGCGATTTTATACAGTTCTCTGGTCTCGAAACCCCATAGTCGGGATTCCAATTTCTTCCCAGTTTCTGTCTCATTTTCATTTTTCACCGATTCCTCTACGGATATCGCTAATTTCTCGATTTTCTTCCCTATCGAGGAAATGTCACCATTGGTACCCGCCATTTGCAATTGCACTGACACGTCAAATACTGTTGTTAGAATCGTCCTAACCTTCTATTTCTGGTAGTACGAAACATTTCCACAATCTTTGCAAAGATCACGCAATTAGAAAACTATGGCACATATAAATATGTATCGTCATAAGTTATTATATTTACGATGGCATCTGTATACACTAAATATTAATAGCCTAAGTCTAAGCTTTATTGGTCAACTGCCATATCGCAAAATTCGCCTGATTACACTGAGAGTAGATTTATCAGGTTTAAAACGATATCTACCTAATGTAATAGAAAATTGCTAAAAAATAAGGGCAACTAAATGATTAAATTGTTTAAAGAAATCATTTTTTAACTAAATATGATTCCTTTTATAAATACACTTTGTTCTTAATTTCAAACGTAATTTCTCAATTCTTGCGGGTAATTCAAATGAACTAAAATGCATTTTGTGAATTGTAATATAATTTTATATTAAAACAATATTTTTAACATAGTAGAGCAAATATATATGGAATAAAATGATATAAAGTAATAACAAATAGAACAAAGAAAGAGTTTTTAGGTCACTGTTCTACAAAATCATACAATTTTCATAAGATTTTTTGTTCTTTCTTAACGTGTAAAAAGGAAATTTTTTACAAGGGAACATTTGTAAAAAATTACAAACTATGCAAAATTATAATTATAATATATATTGTCATCAACGAGACGAGATGATGTGAGCAAGGTATTAGCGCTACAGTGACTGCTAAAACATAGAACACGAAAAGCATTTAATTTCCGGTCTATTCTAGGCAATGATGAAATTTGAAAATCTATTTTGAAATGTAAATGGAACATATAATGAAAACTAGGAGTCTTAAACGTGTATAGTATTAAAATTAATTAATTTTTTTAATATGGACATAAAACGTTTAATTCCTCCATTTCGCCATAACGCGGCGCTAGTGTTTTTAACCGTAAAGTAAATAAACTTCGATTTACGAAAAAACAATTTATGGAAATGAATTGTGAGCTTTTCTAATTACATTTTCTTAATTAGTTTCTTAATTTTCTTTCTACACCCCATTTAAATTTAAATGTAGAAATAATATATTTTTAAAATTAATTAATACTACCAACATATTGATATATGATGGTTATCACCAAAGCTGTCGAGTGCTACTCAATGTATTGCAGCGACACCTACTTCCGCTCTATCGTTGCTCCGAAAGGTACATTTCCATGAGACGGACAATGCCACCTTTGTGGAGTGAAATAATCAAAAGCGCGGCAAAAAGCTTTTTGCTTTTTGCTATTAAAAGAAACATCCTCCTTCTTTTTTGTGCCAGCGACCTTCTCAGAACGATTCCATTACGAAGCACGTGGAGCGAGAAATTGTGAAAATCCAGTGTGAAGACAAAAGAAATATATACCTATACTTGGAAGTTTATTTTATCCTTCCATTCATTAAATCGAACATTTGTGAGTACTCTAGAATACAGCAACGACAACTTTATCGACCACCGTATCTGCAAAACAAAACACTGCTTCAACTATAAAGAAGTAGAAAAGAATTGTAAAGTTTGAAAAAATTCAAATTTGGATCGCTTTTCAAATACTTGTACTTAATAGCTGTATATTAATATCTGGAAAACAATACCAATTACCCATCACGAGGAGGTAACTACGCACAGATCCCAGTACAACATATCGTAAATTAATACTGTTTCACGAATCACGATTTATATTTGTACGATTTATACTGAATTTGAATTTAAATTTCTTTAAAAAAATAATCGATATCCAAATAATAAAATATAAAAGTTTGTTCAATCTAATGACTAATTTGAAACATTGAAATAAACATTTTCGTTTAAGAAATTAGTACTAGAAGACAAAATTACTTTCTTAGTTAAAAATTCAGAGAAAAATACTTAAAATATCTAATAATATTTAAATAGCAGTAGTATTTTTGAATTAATATTATGTACGTATATACAGCATGTTAATGTTACGA